AAATTCCTCTCAGTCACTTTTAAAATAGAATTTGGTTTCATGCACTCAAACTGTTCACTTTTTAAATAGTCTGCGCAGACTACTTATAAGAAACCGTGTGGAGGCTTTCTGATGTAGAAGGTGATGGCCAAACACAAACAGTGAATTCTTTTTCAGTCACTTACTTCGCTTTATCATCAGCTATTATACCTTTCGTTATTCTAGCTAATTTATATTTAAAAACTTTTTCCCAGCTAAATATCTCAAGAAGAACAAACCATTCAATAAAAAGAGAGAAATATCAACTAGTTTATGAAATACAATGCACATGTTCAAAATATGCACATGAAGATTGCGAAATAAATATTTTTGTTATATGATCGCCAAATAACAGTCTTGTTCACATCCTTCTCCCCAAAATAGCGAAATAGTATCATCCGATACCACGTGATGAAGGCGGAGCCAAGTGCCAACTCCTGATGAACGAACTATAGTATAGAGTTTTCTTTACCGCGTGTTGGTAGATACGCTTACCTACAAAAGGGTATAGTTAGTTTTATTAAGCGACAATGCTGTTTTGAGAAAAGCTAAATAAAAAATGGTAGATTTCGCATTTTGAATTTCTAAAAGAATGTAAAGCTCAGTATAGTGCTGAGTTACAGAACTTGCCCTAATAACGAACTTTAATATTCAGTAAAGAAATTATTGGGGTGCTGTTGTTGAACCAAGATTTTCAGAGAAAAAAAGCGTCAGAAACCAAATTTTTCACAAACTTTCACAGAGCAATACTCAGAAAAGCAACAATACTTTATGTAACAAGTGCAAGTTCATAACTAAGTAGCGATATACACTGGTGTGCAAAAATTAAGGAAGAAGTGGTTTTTCGAATGTAAGTTTGAACAGCAGAGTTGAAAATCGTAACTTACGCTCCTCAAAATGTAAGAATATAGGAAAGTAAACAACTTGCAAAAAAAATCTAATCCACAAGAACGTAAAAGAACTTTATTGAAATAAACGCAATTGTACAAACGACCTAAAGGTTAATGTTACACCGGATTGGCAAGGAGATACCAGTATATAGTATGGAATATAATCACCTCCGACTGCTATGCAGGATTGACATCGTGTGGCCATGCTGAGGACCAGGTTGTTAAGAAGCTCCTGGGGAATCGTAGCTGCGGAATTGTTGCTTGCAGCTGGGTACGTAAGGCCAAGCATCTCCCCAGATTGCCCAAATGTGCTCAATCGGATTAAAATCCGGGGACCTTACCGGCCATTCCATTAATTCAATATCTTCACTTTCCAACAGTTCTGTGACAGCCACTGTATGATGAAATGTAACATTATCTTCTATGAAGAGAAATGAACTCAGAACCCACATCACCTCTAAAAAGAAGCACACGAGGAAGGAGAACCTTGGTGGTGCTATAACGAACACCAGTGACTGAACCTCTTTGAAATATGTGTGCATCTTCGGTACAGGCACCGAGCATGATACCGCCAAATATAAGAACTCCAAATCGGTCACTTTCGACCATGTTGGAGAGGTTATTGCGCGTTTCTTGCTCTCTCCAGATGCGTATGCGTTCAAAGCCACTGGTCAGACTAAATCTGCTCTCAGTCGTAAAGAGTAATCGGCTCCATTGCGCATCTGTCCAGTTGTTGTGTTTCCGACAACACATTAAACGGCGTCTCCTGTGAGCTAGTGTTAATGAAACACCGTACTGGCCGTCGCGCAAAATTGACCGCCCATGTTTAGTCTCCTGGGCTCGGTAAAACTCGATATCGAGCGTACAGTACTTCGCTGTGTATGCCTAGCGATTTCTCCAGCTGTCAACCGTCATTTCCTTCCACCCTATATACCAGTCAACCACTGCCGTGGTAGTGCGAAGACGACCTCTTCTAAACCGCCGGACAGCTGTTCCTGTCCTCTGAAATGCGTTCACAGCTCATGAAACGATGGTGTAGGCGATCCCCAACTTCAGCCACACTGGTCACACTTCGACCTTCTTCCATCTTCCCAATGATTCGCGTAAACTCATTCAATTGTCAGCTTCTGTATTATCTATTGGCCATATCATACAATGGCAACGTATTCAGTTCGCTTAAACAGATTGATACCGTGCAGTACTATTCACATAAATACTGAGCTTCTAAAACCAGGTCATTTTATTTCCTTATGACATGACCCCTGGTACCTCATGGTGCTCATGTGCAAATTTTCTACTGTATCTTACCGTGATTGCCCTTCTCACAGACCTTCCCTTCCGTTGTAACTTCCAGTTTTGATATTGTGCTAGTTTTTCCGTTCTCTTCCTAATTTTTGCGCAGCAGAGTACTAATAATATAGCAATACAAAACTTTGTTGCACTTTCAAAGAAATGGCCTTGAGCAATCGTGAACTTAAATTTTCTACTGGAAAGGAACTTCATTAATTATTCATAGCCAACTTCAATATAAAAAAAATCATTCCTATCAAAAAAAAGTTCAAAATAACGGCTCTTATTTATTAACTGCTCATCTCTGCCTTGTTGAGTTAGACTTCGACTAAGTAAATTTACGGAGTCCCTATCCGCGAAGCGGGCACCTCACTCCTCCATCTGTTGTAACGCTCTTTGTTCGACTGGGGGGGGATATTTTCGTTTCGTGATCTGTCGCGCCAACTACAATCGCCAAACAGATTTAAAACTTGTAAATTTTTTTTAAAAAAAGCATGTAGATGTTTGTCCGGGGGTGCTTACCAATTGGTCCCTTTCTGTGATATTTCTTCTTTTTATCTCTCGCGGGCAGCTGCCCGGAAACCTCCAAAACTTGGCGATTATTCAGTCACAGATCAGGATACGGAAAACTTTTCGACAGGGTTACTATGATTATTAATTAAGTAAAATAAAAATATTATATATTTAAATTTAAATAAAATAAGTGGTAGCTATAGATCACTTTCCTTAAAAAAAAGAGAAGGAAATATTTTTTCAACCAGTATGTTATGTAATAATCTATTTAGTTATTTTTAGTTGTATGCTATTGTACATATTCTATATATTGCTCACGAAAAGTATTATTATAGCCTGTTTCAGATATCGCTTTATTCATAACATTAATGCCGGAGTACAAAGTTGTTTACTATTGGTCGCAATCTCTGCTGGACAATTTTACAACGACTTCATCCACAGTTAAAGTCCTGTTTAGGGTAAAGTTTGGCTATCATGAGGCAGCAAGTTTTTCATTAAGTTTCAGAAAAGGTATGTACTCTTTCCATTAACATAATCCTGTATTTTATCGATATAAAATTCCCCAGAATCTTCATCAAGACTAAAAAGAGTCTTTTCGCATCACTCTTAAATTTGCAACTCCTGGAAATTATATATAAACATACCTGCCAACTTTTAATCTTTTCGAGGATGATTTTTTTTACTGGCAGAGATGCCAACTTGCTCCGGACAGCAAATATATATTTTAAAGTGGTACTTTATCAATTGTGTTTCTTGGTTTAATAAATTCAATTTAGTTGATTTTTATCCACCACTATTTCTAAATAATTCGTAGGCTTATGTAATTCATCACTTTATAGAACTTTAGTCATGCTATACCATTTCATACCCTCCAACTTATGAGGATTTTGAAAATAATTCTTTCTTGTGGTAGCAAACCAAAGTAGAAATTTTTAAAGCAAATGGATCTCTCATAAAACTTTTATCAGAACTTAAGAATCTAGCCATATGGCCTGCACTTTTATAAGTAATAGTGGACAAGTTACGCTAAAATTAATTTTTTTTAAATATTAAGACATTAATTTTGCTACCGTCTGAAAAGAAGATTTCAGAAACTACGGAAATTCCGTAGCAGTTGGAGGGTATGCCTTTTAAAAGGCAAGCAAAAATAGTCAAATACGTGCAAAATTTACTTTGTAGATATTTACCGTTTTTTTATTATTTTGGCTTGTACGGAGCAGTTGGCATCTCTGTACTGCTAGTAAAATGGAATTTATAGTATAAGTTTAGGCAGAAATTACGCTGTATTTTGAAAAAGCCTCTGTGGACTTTCACAATACTATTACAGAGATGCCAACTGCTCCGAACACGCCAAAATAATTTTAAAAAAACGGTAAATAACTACAAAGTAAATTTTGCTATTTTTGCTTTCTTTTTAACAGGTATAGCGTGATACAATACTATAAAGTGGTGAATTATATAAGCCTACGAATTGTTTACAAATAGTGGTGGATAAAAATCTACTAAATTGAATTTATTAAACCAAGAAACACAACTGATAAACTACCACTTTAAAATATATATTTGCTGTCCGGAGCAAGTTGGCATCTCTGCTATTATATATATATATTAATATATCTGCTAAATATTTTTAATAATAGTAGTGGTCAAAAAGATTATAAATTAAGTTTATAAATGCAAGGAATATATAGAAAGCAAACATTTTACTACCACTTTAAATATAGAAATAAAATTTTACGCCAAAAAAGTTGGCAGGTATGTATGTATATATTGCCCACTGGTGTGCAAAACTTAAGCAACAAGGTGCGTTTTTTGTCATAACTCTACAAGAAATCATCCGATTGACATGAAATTTGAATATGATGTACATTATTTTATACTTAAACGATGGTAAGAAAATAACGGCGCAGAAATAAATATAAAGCTTGAAGTAGAGTATGGAACAAAAAAAGGCTTTATTTGACATATAGTGGCGTTACACATGATTGCCTGAAGAAGCGGAAGTACAAATGGCAGATGTTCCCTAGTATGGGATATGCCCTCCCCTAACTATAATTGTTGCTTGGCATCGTCTCTCCATGCTAAGCACCAGATTATCCAGGAGTTCTTGGGGTAAACGTCTCCATTCCTCCTTTAACGCATCTTTTAGCTGATGGTTGTTGCCAGAAGGATACTGTCGTGTCGCAAGACGTCTCCCTAATGCATCCCACTCATGCTCTATGGGATTGAGATCTGGAGAGTAACCTGGCCAATCCATTCGTGTGATATCTTCACTTTCCAGTAGCTCTTGAACATTAGCAGAACGGTGTGGCCGGGCATTGTCATCCATAAAAATGAAGTCTGGTCCAATGGCCCTTCGGAACAGACGCACATGGGGTAGGATTGCCTCATTGCAGTAGCGGTCTCCAGTTAGAGAACCTCGGTCGAAGATCTGAAGCTCAGTCCGCCTCAGACGACAAATCCAGGACCACCGTAACGATCTCTTTCTGCGATGTTATTGGGATAAAATCGAGCTCCATCTCTCTCCAGATCAACTGACGTTGAGAATCGCTTGTAGCACTAAAACGACTCTCATCTGTGAAGAGGACGACTCCATTGATGAAGTGTCCAGGTTTCGTGTTTTCTGCATCACTCTAAACGGTGCCGCCGATGGCTAACTTTTAAAGGTATGCAGCGTTCAGGACGTCTAGCAAATAAGCCACCTTTGTGGAGGCGTCTGGCCACTGTAAATCTTGATACTTGTCGTCCTGTGACTGTGCATAGTTGCTGAGATATGGCGCTCGCTGACTGAAAACGGTTTCTTTTCGCCTGGAGGACAATGTAACGGTCATCTCTTGGTGTTGTTTTCCTTGGACGGCCACCACCAACCTTCCGAACAGCTGTACCAGTTGTTTTAAAGGCATTCCAAGCACGAGAAACAACACTTTTGTTGATCCCGAACTCTTCGGCGACAATGGTCACACTATGCCCCTCCTCAAGCTTCCCAATCATGCTTTCTCGAGTAAAGTCGTCTAAATGATTTCTTGAAGACATGTTTCACAAAACAAATCACTTGCATCGAATGTCTTTAACTACGGTGCTCTTCATCCTTTTATCACAGCTTTGACCTGCGTGCGCCGACCCACAAGGTTTACGTACACTTACATCACCTACGACGTTTTATTTCTAAAATTTGCATACAAATAATCTTTCTACTGATTTACGTGCATATTATACTGCAATTTCATGGCTATCTTATACTTTGTTGGGGAGCTGTGGCCGAAAAAGCACTAGTTGCTTACGTTTTGCACACCAGTGTATATATATTCTATATATAATAAGAAAATGAATTAAATTTACAAAAGCCAAAAAGAGACAAAGAAATAAATTAACTATTAAAAGATTAAATCAAAATGGAAAAGCGCCTAAAGCAGCTAAAACCAAATTTGCTTTATTTAATTTAGAAATTCAAACAAACATTAAATCTGTAAAAATTAAAATATATGTGTGTTTGTAAGACAGCACTTCACCAGGGGACACACTATCTACAAACACATAGGAGCCTTTCTGTTGTCAGTGGAGAATCCAAAACTGTCAATTTCGGATCCATTTCGGGCAAATCCGTGACCCAAATCACCATGTGCAAAGCAGGCAATTCATGTTTCTCCCTCTCTCTTTTCCTTTCTTAACCCTTTGACGGTTAACAACGAGTTCAGCTCGCAATCGAATCGTGCCTCATAATGCGCGCAAACGAGTTCCGCTCGGGAGCAAGATTTTGACCGTAATGGTTAGTAACGAGCACTACTGGCGTAGTGAAATTTTTCCCCACTGCGCGCTGACGAGCTGAGCTCGTTCGCCATTACTATTCTGCATTGACTATGTTAAAAACGAAAAGTACGTAAAAACTGTTATTTATGTACTACGAATACTTTAAGAAATTTTTAAAACGCGTGAGGCGAGCTATCTACCGCATCCAGAGATGCCAACTTGCTCCGCTTCGTTATTTCCTAGTGATAGCGAAAGTCAAGTTACTTTCAGTTTAATATTTTTCCTTTAAGGTAATTTTTTCACCACTAAATATCAAAAACTATAAGTAACATATAAAATGCAACGTTAGAACAACTATCCTCTGGTTACTCTATTAAAAAGTAGGCGTAACTGTCCTTCTCCAACGAAATTTACTACATAATTTGCTACCACTTTATTCTAACTAACAATTCCAGAAGACGGAGCAGTTGGCATCGCCAGAGAATGGTGACATTTTCTGAAGAACGGCGGTGGAGAACAGCTGCCACTTTCGACTACTGTTTGCACGTAATACTGCGCGAATTAATGAAACGAAAACTGCTCATTTCCCTGACCGTCAAAGGGTTAAATAAAAGTTAATTTTTTAAAATCATTAAAATTGCATAATTAAATATCAATTAACTGCAAACTTCCTTAAATAATCTAATATAATATTACCTTGCGCACATCCATTAACTGGCCCATCCTTGGTAACTAACAAATCAAACGTGCTTCAGAACTGCAGTAAGAACGCACTATAAAACAAAATCCCTCTATTTACGCTTTAACCTTAATTTGCGCTTCCGTTTCATATTTTGTAATCTGGAAATCTTATTACGAAAATATATTAAATCATTCTCGAAAATTTTCTATTTATATAAGTTCTTTTGAATTCGCTACTTGCTTTATAGATTTCGTTTTATGTTTTGTTCTGTTTTTTCTTTGCATTTTGTTACGTGATTTTTATTATTTAATGTGATGTATTCTATTTTGTTTTTTTAAAAAATTTTTTCAGTGCTCCATATATATATATATTGTATCGATCTATTTTGCTTTGTCTATACTGATACAATATTTGAAAGCACTCTTTTTTGCGGATGTAATCGTGTCAATTGATGAAGAGATTATATCTTCTTTTTTTTGGGATTCTTATTGATTCTTTTCCTAATTTTAATTTTTTTTAAATAATTTTTTTTCATCTCTTTTTACATTATTCTGTAATTTTTTCCATGTTTTCTCTACTTTTTGAACTTTTGCATTATNTTTTCAGTGCTCCATATATATATATATTGTATCGATCTATTTTGCTTTGTCTATACTGATACAATATTTGAAAGCACTCTTTTTTGCGGATTTTCTACTTTTTGAACTTTTACATTATATATATATATATAAATGCTTTTAAAATGCCACTTAACATTTACTAAAATTTTCAATTTTATAGAAAAGAAATACCATGAATTTTACAAAAACTTTTGATTCTGCATGAAAATCTCGATCTTTTTCAGTCACTCCAAATTTTTTGCTAGATCTTTTTTCCCCCTTACCTAAGTCACTCGAACCGATGAGTAAAACCAATTAGTCCTACAACTTTTCATGCAAATAACGTTAAACAGTTTTAAAAAAAATAAATAACGTCAGAGAGGAAGTTCAACGTTCAGACTCAAACATTTTGGAAAATCATAAATAATTTATTAATTGATTCAAGTTACAATGATTCTGCAGCTATTAATATTGTTAGAAATAAAGGATAATAGATGAGTAACCGACTTTTATTTAGGGTACTCTACTCGATTTCCTTAATGCGCAAAAATTACTAAATGCAAGCTAATTCCATCTTTCTCAGGATCAAAATTCTGCATTAGCTTGTGGATATCAAGGTATTCGCGATCGCAACGAACTATAGGGGGCGTTGTTGTATGAGACGCTTACCTGCGATTTCCATATGAACCGTCATTCAGTTACTCTGGAGACGTCGTTAATGTAGCGNTATCAAGGTATTCCGCTGAGTAGTACCAATATTTTGATTTGAAGAACCACTTAGTTGCATGCTTTTGTCTGCCAGATATGTTATTTTATATACTTTTACACTTCAAAACCCTAAGCAGAAGAGATGCTAATTAGTAATTACTCTTAATTTGACAAAATATTTTAAAATAAATGTCTTCAGACATTAATTTTTCAGTTTATTGACATATTTCGCCGACTTTTAAAAGGCTCATCACGACTTACCTGCAACAAAGTGGTGCATCACATAACCTTTTGAATTATTTAGAAGTAGTAGTGAGTGAAACCCCTCTAAATCGAATTTTCAAAATCAAGAATCATACATTGAAGGACTACAACTCAAAAGTTTTTATTCATTGTTTCACAAGTTGGCAAATCTGAAGTAGGTTGATTCAGAGATCGCTGTTTGAGTGGCAAGATTTACATACCTGCCAACTTTTACGCATTTGGCGTAAAATTTTATTTCTTTATTTAAAGTGGTAGTAAAATGTATGCTTTCTACATATTCCTTCCATTTATAAACTTAATTTATAATCTTTTTAACCACCACTATTTTTAAAAAAAATTAAGTATATATATAATATTTAATAGTGTCATTGTGGACTGCATAAGCTGCTTAAAAATACAGCGTAAATCCTGCTTAAAAATGCAACTTAAATTCCAAATTACTACCACTGGGAAAAATTATCCTCGAAAGGCTGAAAAGTTGGCAGGTATGGATTTAGAGAAAGATACCATAGTGTTCCCACAGTCCTTGAAAAACTTTAGTAGTAAATTTATGCTAGAAGATATTTCTTATTTTAATATACCCCTTGGATTTTAAGAGGTTTGAAGGTGGAGTTTTCATGCATGTATACTTAGTTTGGAAAACAATTCTTAGTGGCGGTAACACAGAAATTAAATTATCGATATTTCTTTAATTTTCGTTACCACCCTGTAAGCACAAAGATAAATTCAGGGTCGAGACATAATTCGAAGTCGCTACCACCAAGCTGCTGATCATTTACAGAGTTGCCAACTAGCTCCGAACAGCAAATAAATATTTTAAAGTGGTAGTTTATAAATTGTGATTCTTGGTTTAATAAATTCAATTTAGTGGATTTTTACCCACCACTATTTCTAAATAATTCGTAAGCTTATATAATTCAAGCTGTACCTATTAAAAAGCAAGCAAAAATAGTCAAATGGTTGCAAAATTTAGTTAGTAGTTATTTACCGTTATTTTAATTATTTTGGCGTGTCCGGAGCAGTTGGCATCTCTGCATTTAGCAGTATGGCAATACCGTTTATCTACCAGGAAGGTTCTTCACAATCTATTTTTCAGTGGCAGCATGATTTAAGCATTAATATTTTTTTTTGATTCAATGCATTTGATTTCATAATGATTTTTCCCATAAACTTTGAAGTTTTTTAAATATTAGATAATAGTTTCTATTTTAATTATTTTATTTCCACTATGTAAAATATTTCTCAAATGACCATACAGTTCAAAAGCTATTAAAATAAAAAAAATTGTAAATTTTTATGCTTTCAATATTTTAATTATCTCTGAAATGTACTACCAGTCTACAAAAAATATATTTGTGGACAGGCTTTGCGTTCTCTTTTAAAGTAATTTCTTGTACTATTATTTTTTCCACTTTAATATATTTATTTACTTATTAAAACAGACTTTATTTTCAGAATGTGGTGGAGTTTTCACCAAACCTACGGGAATACTAAAGAGTCCATATTACCCAGCAAACTATCCAGCTCTAGCAGAATGTGTATACGAAATTCGTACGAGCCCTGGAAATATAATCAATATTACATTTGACAATATGGTGATAGAAGATGAGCCCCAATGCCGATATGACTATTTAAAGGTAAAATAGTTTCTTATCTTATTTAATATTTGGGTACTTAAGAAACTTGTTAAGTGTTTTTCGACAGAGTGATTAGTTAGAAATAGTGCAAAAAGGGGTAATTCCTAATGTTCTACAATTTTGTACTCATAATTTTAACTGCGTGTATTGACTTGAAAAAAATTTTACACAAGTTTATGATCAAAATATAACTTATGTATCTTTTGATAATTGTATTAAGGTTGAAAAAAATCAGATTTACATAAGTTTATCAAAAGTAATGATAAAATTTTCCATAATAGGGTACTGCCGAGGGGACCCTAGAATAGCCCACCCCTTGACGAATTTTTTAAATCTCGCCAAACTAGGTTGATATTTCAGGGAGATTATTTTGAAGGTCCGATCACACCACCAAAATTCTTAAACCTGATTGGTTATTTTATATGTATACCTACGCTAAAGTTGGATTGCATTAGAAAAGAGGTAAAAGGCTTTATTTTTTCGCCCTTTATGAGTCTGATCTCTTATTGTTAAAATCATGATTATTATTCAGTTATTTTTTATTCTATTAAAAAATACTTTTATAGATTTGTAATAATTCAGATTACTTTTTTAATAATCAAAAAGCAACGTTGATCCCAGTAATGATTGCAACCTTGGCGAGATTTCAAAAAGTCACCAAGAGCTGGGCTTTTCTAAAATTTTACAGCTACTGCCATAGTATTTGTAACAAATAAATACTGTTTTATTTTTATTTTATGCCTTTAATTTGGAATACAAAGTTTGAAACGTAATGGAGGCAGAAAATATACTAAGGAAAGATGATAAATAGATATTTCATGATAATTAGGGATAAATAAATATTTTGCTGGTAAACTTTAAAGTTTTTTATTAATATTAAGCTGATGACAACCAACGAAATTTAATAATATAAATTAGATCGTATCTGCCAATTTTCTGGCTAATTTGAATGTGCAGACAGCAATTCGAAGTTCTTTTATGCCTTCCTAACGTTTCTATGTTATATAGAGAAATTACTTACGTTGTATTTTCATTAAATAAAAACAAATGAAACTTTGCAGTATTTAAAAGAAACAAAATTTCTCTCTTGCTTATTCGCAACAATATATTTGTTACTTTTTTAAAAATTGGTTTTTAATAGTTCAAACACAAATAGCCTTTTTAAAATTCATTTATAACTTAGTTAATTTTCTACTGAAATATAATATCTTGAATAATTTGTTTCTAAATTATGATAATAAAAGACAGAACCATTTACAATTTTTAATTTAGATTCAAGATGGTGAAGAGAAAAATAGCTCTGTTATCGCACTGTTTTGTGGAAATGTTGTGCCAAAGCCAGTAATATCTACAAACAATTACTTAAGATTGACTTTTAGAACTGATGGTGCTACTGAGTATCTAGGATTTCATGCAGCTTATACTGTTGTAGAAAATGGTGAGATCAAACATATTAATTACTTTTTTTTTAACCACTCATGTAGAAGGGTTGGATCAAATTAAATAACAGTTTTATACTTAACTCTATGTGAACAGTCTTTCTTTCAGCAACAAATGTTTTGTAATGGCAAAACTGCCAGTACAATTTGAAAGATCATGCTTGAAGCTTTCAGAATTGGTGTCTTTTTACCCATTACAAAATAATGCCTTGTTTGTGCTTCGAGCCCAATGGCATGATTGTGGTATTGTGAAGAGCACTACTCACAGGCTGCCTTTGCTTCCCTGACAAGCTTGTACCCATCCATATGAAGCTGGGTGGGTTTCAAGCGGTCATTGAAGATCGAACTTCAATCCTTCCCTATGAGAATTCAGTGCTTTTAACAAGTCAAGCATCGCGGCTCATAGATGGTTGGAAAGTAGTCGTAAAATTTTGATTACAAGAGCCGCTCTGCTTAAACTAAAATGTATTTAAAGAAGATAAATTATAAATCAACATTTCAATAATAAAAATAGAAATGAAGTGTGTGTACTTATTAANAATGTGCAGACAGCAATTCGAAGTTCTTTTATGCCTTCCTAACGTTTCTATGTTATATAGAGAAATTACTTACGTTGTATTTTCATTAAATAAAAACAAATGAAACTTTGCAGTATTTAAAAGAAGCAAAATTTCTCTCTTGCTTATTCACAGCAATATATTTGTTACTTTTTTAAAAATAGGTTTTTAATAGTTCAAACACAAATAGCCTTTTTAAAATTCATTTATAACTTAGTTAATTTTCTACTGAAATATAATATCTTGAATAATTTATTTGTAAATTATGATAATAAAAGACAGAACCATTTACAATTTTTAATTTAGATTCAAGATGGTGAAGAGAAAAATAGCTCAGTTATCGCACTGATTTGTGGAAATGGGCCAAAGCCAGTAATATCTACAAACAATTACTTAAGATTGACATTTAGAACTGACGGTCATACTGAAGAACAAGGATTTTATGCAACTTATACTGTTGTAGAAAATGGTGAGATCAAACAGTATTAATTACTTTTTTTAACCCCTCTTGTAGAAGGTTTGGAGCAAATTAAATAACAGTTTTATACTTAACTCTATGTGAACAGTCTTTCTTTCAGCAACAAATGTTTTGGAATGGAAAAACTGCCAGCACAATTTGAAAGATCATGCTTAAAGCTTTCAGAATTGGTGTCTTTTTACCCATTACAAAATAATACCTTGTTTGTGCTTCGAACCCAATGGCATGACTGTGGTATTCTGACGAGCACTACTCATAGGCTGCCTTTTCTTCCCTGACAAGCTAGTACTCATCGATATTAAGCTTGGTGGGTTTCAAGCTGCCACTGAGGATAGAACTTTAATCCTCCCCTATGAGAATTCAATGCTTTTAACAAGTCAATCATCGCGGCTCATAGATGGTCCGGAAGTAATCTTGAAATTTTGATTACAAGAACCGCTCTGTCTAGAAAAAATGCATTTAATTAGAGAAGAAAAATAGGAAAGCAACATTTCCATAATAAAAATGGAAATAAAGTATGTGTTTCTCATAAATAGTCTCTAAAGAAAAAAGGCTTTCTCTACTATGACAAAAGTTTAAAAAGCAGTATCTGTTTTTTTATTTTAGTCATAGTATAGTAAACTAAATGCATAAGTTCGTATTATACCAGGTTCCAGGGTATAATGAAGATTCGAATGATTGTTCTTAGCTATATAGAGATTTTAATTAAATTAAATAATATCTATACTATAACAGAAATTAAAAAAAAAAATAAAACATTGATTAACTTGTACATGTACTTTTTATTTATATATATAGTACATTATATGTATAGTACATTTTTATGTACTATATTATAAATTTATTAAGAGAAAAATTTATTTAAAGAGATATATTTACTATGAGAAAGAAAAATTGTTCGTGTAAAAAGTATTTCAAAATCAGTAATGTCAGCCAACTAAAGTCATTTCGTTGTTTTAATACATTTGATATCAGCTTCTCCACAGTTATTCTCGGTAAATACAATATCTCTTTAGAGGCTTTTGTTCCTTCAAGCGATCTTTTCAGAATTTTCCTACCTTTTCTAATTTGTATTTCATCTTCTCGAGCACAACACTCTTTTGTAGGCCTTGGTTGTTTCAACCACCTGTCTTTACCACCATCTTGTATCTGCAGCGATACCCCTCTAATTTTTAGTTTAAAAACTTTAAAAAAAAACTTTTTAAAGTCATTCAACGATCCAATTAATGGTTCCAGCTATCGGCATCTGAGAAGTTTTTTGAAATTCAAAATTTTATCAGAGTTACCTTGCAAACATCACCAAATATGGATCAGATATCTTAATTTATTGCAATCGCGAATAAAGATGTTCACATGTCCGATTTTCCAACAAAAATCTCTTGAGTAAATTTAGTGGGAAATTATATGTTATTTTATATGAAAAACTATGTATCATAATTGTCGTATCTATTATTCGAAGAATTACATACATTAGTGAGTTTTTTTATGTGTAACTGCAACATCTTTGTCTATTCCCAGAACATAGCAAATGTTCCCTTGGAGATAACTTTCACTGTTCCAATACCACTTGCGTTCCAAAGAGTGAGGTTTGTGATGGAATAAAAAACTGCGAAAATGGCGCTGATGAATTTGGTTGCGGTAAGAAAATTTTATTTAATTGCATTGTTTTATAATACAACGAACAAACAATGAAGATTCCTAAATGAATCGACTTACTCCCAAGAAATTGATTTCTTTTATATTCAGCCGGAAAACACACTACTATATTCTTCGTAGACGCATTCTTCCCATTACTGCAAGTAAACGGCTAAGATTCTTTGTAGTGGTAGCATACCTGCCATATATGTCTCTTTCCAAAAATAATTTCCCAAGTCGTAGGGAAATGAGAATTGAAAAATTAAATATAAGCAAAACTACTTTTATTATTATTCTGATGGAGTTAAAAGATATAAGTTTACTATTATTATACATTTATGTAATTGTTAAAAACATTCTAATTTTTAAAAAAAAATTCCAGAAATAAAATATCAAGCTTGCTTAAAATCTTAAAAAGGAATAACTAATCATGGGCAAAAATCTATTAAAATTAGCAACTTTTTCTAGCTTATTTCCTTCAATTTGTTATTAAAAAACACACGTCTCTCTCTCTCTGTATGGAGTTTAGTTGGTAAGTATGAAACACCAAAAAGTCACGCAAAAACTATTGCTCCCTCTGTTTTATACGATAATTAAAATGTGCGAAGAGGCCAGTCATATTGCCTTCCCTGTATTCTTACGCCTCATCAAAATTATTTATTACTCATAGAAAATCGTTTAATTCTTCCTTATATGGAAGTGAAAGATCTTAAAATAACTCCTCTTTCGAAATATAAATCTAATTATTATTCATTGGTATGTTTTCAATCTTGAAGTCCCAAAATAGAATATCTACACTTATCCTTTACCAAAGATATTTTATGAAAACGAAAGAGCTTTAATGCTTTTATTAATACAAAAGTATTTATAATTTTTGTATTACACACACACATATATATATATATAAAGAGAGAGAGAGAGATACATACACATACCTGCCAACTCTTTCGGATTTTTCGGAAAATCTTAAATTTACAGTTAAACCGGTAGCCAGTTTTCATCCATTTAAACTCGATTCTTGTTTGAATACATTTGTTTAAAATTATTTTGATTACCGTTACGTTTATTAATTTAAACACTACTAATTGTGTCGTCTTTCACTGAGTGGATTAATTATAATTGGAAATTCTGACAATGTCAATTCAAATTTCGTTTTACTACCACTAGGTTAAAGCTATTTTGAAGAGATTAAAAGTTGGTAGGTATGTATTTGTGAGCCACGTCCTTAGCGACCAACCTCATGATGTAAACATACGACTCATAAGGTTTAGAAAAGGTTCATGAAAAATATATATTCAGTTTTTTTTACTACATAGTTATCATAAAACATGTTTGCACACGTTCAAAATCATATTAACATAAACTCTAACATTTGAATTTCTCGCAATAATTTTTTCTAGAGTTAGGAAACTGAAGCTACATTTTTCCTAACTGATAGAATTATCAAATTTTAAAAACATGACTATTGGTTTGTATGAAATTTATATAACAGTTTAAATTACTTATACGTAGTAAATGAGATTCATTTAATTTTAATTCATAAAAAATGTTAATTCAATACTTTTATTGCCATGGAAAAAATATATATTTTCTGAAATTACGGAAATTTCGTAATACTTGAAGAGTATGTTTTTATAACAAACCGTTTTAGAATTGTTTAAATGTTTTAAAATTGTTTAAATGCGGACACATAACTGTGGTGGTATGTCTTCAAAGGATGATCCGAAAACATACCATCTCAGTTTTGATTCTCTACAGAGGGGATGGCTTCCCCTCTTTGGGAGCACTTTACGTTAGACCAGTTTCACGAGGACCTACTCAGTCCACCAGCTTTTCCAATGCTGGCAAAACAAATCTGTCACCCACCCTCTCAATGACTACTGTCAATTATACTTGACTTCGGTGTTCTACTGGGAACCGTGTCCTTACAATCACTTCACTCCGGGACGTGATTTTTGAAAAGTTTACACACATCAAAGAGTTTTATATTCTTCTTTTGCAAAATTCTTTTTATTATACAGTTCTTACTCATTTGTACTGAATCATTTTGTAACAGGTATAGCTAAAATAGAAGGTGTAGCTGCGGCACTCTCGAGAGAAATACAAAGATTGAAAAGTAAGCGAACTTCCTCCTGGGGTTGGAATGAGAATACGGCTAGGGCTCTCCTTGCGCTGTTTCTATCTGGTGGTGCTAAATTTGACGGGCGAAACCTCGAAGAGGAAGTAATGGCTAAACACTCAGAACTTAAAACATCTATTGCTTTATTAAAGTAAGCTTTAAATCTTTTATTTTCTTTGAATTTTATAATTTTTTTAGATCATTTGATTATTTTTCAAGTTAAAAATATTTAAAACTAATTATTAAAATTAAATTAACAAATTTTAAAGTTTATATTCCATACTCTATTGCAAGTTAAGAAAAAACCAATGCGGTATGGGGATTTAAGTAATCATCTGCGACTGCATATAGTTACATTTAATTTCGTTATCAAATTATACAATATAATTTCGTTACAATTATGCTTTCAAAACAACATAAAAGCCTTAAAAAGGTTAACATGTCAGACAGAAATTTAATTCTTGCTATCTTTTACAATATATATCATAGAATTATAAAATTAAGGTTGTAGTTTCGTAGTCTTACTGGAATCCTTGACTTCGGGACATATTTCGATAAATAAGGAAAACAGCCGCTCTTGAAAATTAAACAACTATATGACGTTGCAAGAGGATTTGATTGGACCACTAAAAAACGGTGCTTCTTATGCTGACTTGCTCTTAACGAATCAAATAAGAGATAAAAGAAACTTTTACTTTTGTTTAGTTGTAGAAGAAATTCGTCTCGAAAAAACAATGTTACTCTTCCATCAATTTCTTTAAATGCGAACAGAAAGACGAATATTTGTTATAATTTTTAGATATCAATTTTATCAATTCTTATTACTTGTTAATTGCAAGTTCAGTTTTCTTTATTTCAAACGATGTTGTATTTCAAAGAAAGAAAGCAAAAAGAAGGCTGTGCAACGTCGTTTCAAGAGTGGGCGATGTTGTTATACGTTCGTATATTAAGTACGTTCTTACTTTCGTTCGTTGATATACGTAGCTTGGCATCCATTTGGTGTCTACTTACAGGGAAATAAGCTCTTTCCACAAGGATAAAGGTTTTTTCTTAATGTGCAACAGTGTATAGGCAATTTATATCGTAATATGCAATTTATTTAAGGCTTTGTGGAGCAGAAAAATTGTATCAAAAAATTTAGTCGAGAAGATCTACAAAAACTGATCACTGTGTACTTGTCCTGCGGAAATGAGGACTCCTCAGTAAATAAGGATCAATTGCTAACTCGAAATTTGAATTACAAAGAAGTTAGTGGATAATTAAGGTTATTATTAACATATTATTATTAGTTAGTTAATATTAACAAATAAGAGAAGAGAAGAAAGGCGAGAAAAAGGATAACACAAAAGTATAGAAAAAAAATCCGTACGCAAGATTAGCTCAGGTTCTATCACAACGTTCTACTCTTAGCCCTAGTATGTATTGGGATCTGGATATTATAGGTTGTGCAGCGGCCCTTGTGCCATCTATCTTGATAACATTTAAATGATGAGTTGAAATCATTGTCAATGGGAATGCTATTTATGTATGCGAGCTCCTTGCTAGGTAAAATAAAAATGATGTGAAATGAAATGTAGCAGTCTTGCTTTTCAGACAATTACAATGTGAAATTAGTTGAGAGTGATTAGCATGGAGGTCTGACATAGACGTGAGGTAACACCACTTTGATAATTTTTCTCCAATTACTTGTTTTGCTGAAGATGGTAAAGTTGAATATTATCTGTTTTGTTAGTTTCGATATGAGGCGTCGTTGCAGAGGTGTGCTGCTGTATGTCTGAGATGGATGTCTTAATTGTAGTTTTCATATTTAAAGATTTGATTGAAGTGGGCTGCGGTACATCCAATTACTTTATGAAAAAAGTCGGCATTTAATCTTTTAATTTGTCCTAGTGTTTTGATTTTATTGGGCACCTGGGCCACGAAGCGACCCCTGTCCCATTCATCTGGAATTTTAGCACTGTTTTGGTTGAGCATTGAAGTAAGCAGGCAGTGTAGTTGCTTTTGTGAATGTTTCAAGCACTTTGCTTGAATAACTAAAAAGGAATCAAAAATAAAATGAGCAGCTTGCTCTAAACTGTGTTTGTTTGATTTTGGATTTGTTCAGAATTGTCTCAGCATGAGGTGTTAATTTGTTCTGTGTTCGAATCGCTTTATGGCTTCAGTTTTCAAAATTAAAAGTGGTTGATTAAAACCAGAATAGGTTAAGTCAAAAGTGGCAATTTTTAGGGGTTTACATTATAATCAAATATAAGTGGGATGGTCACCATGGCACCTGAATGAGTTAATTTATATAAAAAAAACTGCAAATGATTTGTAGAGAAATAAATTTTTACTAAATAATTTATAAATCATATTTATTGTTATGAAGAGAAAAATAATTTCAAAAAATGATGCCTGGAAATTGTAGTATTAAACACAATGGGATTTTATTACTTAAATACAATTCAGATCTGCCAACTTTCTCCACTTTTTTTGAGAAAACTGCTTTTGTTGTTGCTGTTGTGTATGATTCTTTGTTTTGTAAAAGTAAATTGAAGTTATTTTTCACACCCCTACACGTAAATGATTCAAAAGTTCATATAAAACACCACCTATTTTAATGTGGTGATGCTTTTGGCGAAATTACTAAAAATCTGAAAGCTTCAGTTTTTATTTGTCCACCACTCTGTAAGATATTTTACAAAAAGTTAACCAATTAGCATTCGTAACAATAAAAATATAAAATAATTAGAATGTACAAATTGACCTTCTTATTTCAGGAAGTCACTTTCAAATGAACAACTGAGTATGATCGTCAATGGATTATTGGTAACGTGTCACAACCCTCGTCATTTTTATGGACAGAACTTAATCAAACGTCTTAAGGAGCAAGTACAGATGCCAAGTAATTTCACACACCCAATAGCGTATTTAACTCTTTGCAATGCTAAGGAATCTTGGCCGCTTAAAGCTATTGGAGACCTGAATAAAATTTTAAGTACCAATTCTAGCTATCCTTTCATTCGAGGTGAGTAAAATCTACTTAGGAATGAGTTACTATTTTTTTAAAATTATTTTTGCTATTTATTAAACTAACTCATCCGTTACATGTTTTTAAACTACACACATAAAGCTAAATCAAAATAAGACCCCGCTTTTTTTATTGAAATATCTAAAAAATAATCAATATTTGGAACTTTAGCTTGGATGTTGCGTTTGATGCAAAAACACGAAAGTTAGCTCCATGATGCGTAGTATTTCTTTAAAATCTGTCTACAACTTTTTATGTCTGTACTGTGTGTGCGATAGTACTGTCTTTCAACGTCGAACTAGATCTGCATCATTTTGCCTCCATTTTTGCTTATTTTATATAAGTAAACATTTATGCTTTATAAACGTCATATATCAATTCTCAGTGAATTCTGTCTTTTAAATTTGTGTGGTCCTGGGTAAACAGGAAAACAGCTAGGAATCCTAGGAAGAGACGGACATTTATCAGTGAAGTTAACCATGGCTTACAGCTCACACTTTCACCAACCACAGTTCTGGCATGACAGTTAGTCAGTAGCAGACTGATTATGAATGAGAAATCTCTAACCATGAGGCTGACCCTGATTTTTTTCTCCATCAAATACAAATGATGGTTAGTTCCATCTAAAAGTCCTCCATGGAAGCTAGTTTGTTTAAATGCCAATCCTGGAATTCCCATATTTCTGCGCTTAGTTCGAAAGTTGCTGTGGTGTTAAACATTGGTACCCGAAAATCATATGTAGGTTAGTTGGGAAATTTCGGTTGCAAAATACTCAAATATTGTGCATTCACTTACGTAAGTTCTGCCCAAAGCAGTTATTACAGTATTGTGTTTACATGAGAGTTTGCCCAGAACATATGAGCGGTGGCATTGAGGAAAATGCTAAAAATTCGTAATATATATTCGGAGTAATTTTTAATGGGAATTAGGTTATCATTAAAACTTACAAAAATTGAATGTGAGCCGCGATGGCTCAGGGGATAGAGCCTTCGCCTTCCAATGAGGTGAACCGGGTTGGAATCCCAGTCGATACGAATTCCGCATCCGGCTTGCACTGACCACAGTGCTGACGTTAAATATATTCCGTTTTAGACGGATCATGGGTTAGAGTCCCCTTGCCGTCAGGCTAATCGTGGGAGGTTCTCGTGGTCTTCCTCTCCATATAACGCAAAAGCGGGTTAGTTCCATCAAAAAGTCCTCCACGAAGGCAAATTTCTTCCGATACTTGATCCAGAGGTTTCCTTGTCTTCTGGATTGGGTTCAAAATTTCAAGGCTACGGAGTTGAACATTAGTAGTCGTAAGCCCAAAAATTGGGTAGGCTGTCTAATGAAGGTTTTAAAAAAATTGGATATAAATTATTGTTTTAAAATAACATGCAAGTAATTCTCGTAATTAAAATTTAAGGATAGTAAGTTAGATCATAAATGTTAACTAAAAGCCTCCCGAAAAGCACATTAACTAATAAAATTTTATATCAAGTTATTTTTTATTTTTACTGTAACTAAAGGACCTGACTTTCTGGTGGTGTACAAGATCGAAGAAGAGATACTGACTCAAGTTTCAGTTGGTAACGTCATTTGTTTGAAAGTAAAATAAAGTTACCATTCGCAATATGGGAAAATTACTTTTATTAATAGAGCTGATGTTTAAATCTAAGCTAAGAAAATTACATACTTCCGTTGACGTTTTTAGTTTTAAAACACCAATAAAAAATAGTGTATTTATGAACATTTTCACATAAAAGACATAATATTTCAAAATAAATACTAATGAAGTAAGTTTTTGCCATTTAATTTCTGATTATATGATTTTGCAGACTATCAAGCAATCGCAACCATGGCTATTTCTTGTTTCCAGAATCAGACCAATATTCTTGAGGAAACTGAAAACAGCAATCTGAAAAATCATTATCTACGCATCATTCAACAGTTCAAACAAATGCAGCATTCCGATGGGAGCTTTGGAAACGTTCATACCACATCTTTAATAACTCAGGTAAGTTGGAAGAAATCAAATTATATATCTTAAGACAGTGCTTGGCTTATTGTGGCTCAAGGCTTATTGTGGCTACTTTAGCTTATTGTAGACAATGATGCTCTCGACCACCCGTGATATTTTTGCGATTGGGAAGGCGATTTGTATTTGAATGAAAAAGAAGGAGCGAGGTTTTGAAGCAGCATTTGCATTTTCTTGTTCTCAGGGCATTTATTCTGAGAATGTAATGCTATACACAGGTTTTTATAGATGAGTATGGTTATTAAGTATCGAAATTTATCCTTTTAATTTGTAACTTTTTACTATAGTACAGGTCTCCGCTAACCTCTTATCAGTAATAAAGGCAAGTTTTAGTTTTCTTTTCTTTAAGGATTGTTTTCGAAGGCTCATATGAAATGATGCTTATCTTTTGTGAATAATATGCTACTTTCATAACTGCTGTGAGTTTTTAACAGTCACTCATGACTGTTAAATCAAATTTAGCCTATCTAAAACCAGTAACACCAGTCTAAAACGTCTGTATGGAGAAAAGCCACATCTCTGTGAAAGTGAAAAGCGTTTCTGGTCTGATTTTTTAATATTTCACAACTTTCTCTGGTGCATCTTTATCTGAGCTCATAAAAATTTGCAAAAACTGAGAATAAGGCTATTTTGATAATTATTAATGTAGGTAAAAAAATATCACCAATTTGTCGATTTATTAAAAAGTTTAATAACTTTTAAAATATTTAAGTTATTTGTCCGCCTTACAGCCGAGATCACACAGCAAGATGGTGATTGTCTTCACGGCAAAATGATATATATAAATTAAAATCATCGCTTTTCTTCAAGTATAAGTCACTTAAACTTCAGCATTTTTTGTTTCCTTGGTGACAGAGTTTCAAAAACCATGTAAGTAATCTAAATGTTTTGTGAAGTTCTGAAGTTTGGTAAAGTTCTGGTGTTAACACATTTTTAACCGCGAACACCATATCGCTGGTTCAAAGCTAAAATGACACTTCTGCACTCACTTCTCATGTTATTTGAATGAGAAGTGAGTGCAGAAGTGTCGTTTTAACTTTGAATTAGCGATATGACGTCTTTCGTTGAAATAGTGTAACTCACACACATTAATTACATTATACATTTAAATTATGGATATCGTTAATTAACCGTTTTTTAATTACATTTGTAATTCTAAAGGCAAATCATATAATGAGCATGAATAGCATTAAAAACTCTTTGTAGAGAAACCAGACACGTTATTAACTCCTGTCCATGCTGTTACAGGCACTTCTTTCAAGTGGCCATGAATACTCAAAGGACTGGAAGCTAAATGCCACCATAAAACACCTGATTCGTAAACTATCACTACCTCATGATCTTTTGGCGAGTTACCTAGCTCTTCCAGTTCTCAATGCCAAAAGCCTTTCAGATGTCGCCAAAGTAAATTGCAGTTTAAATCCAAGGAGAAGTGGATATGGTAATAAAATTCTCATTCTATTCTATTTTACTTTTTTGTTAGACAACAGCTCCAGCTCGAAAGAACATTTGTTTATTTATTGAATTGGCTTGATTTTGCTGCTTTTATCGTAAAACTGCAAATTTTTAAATTTTTCAGTCGGATACTATTCCCAAATAAAGTGGTAGCAAAACTTCAGTTACAAGATTTTATTATTGATCTAAAATAGGATTAAAATGGTCTTCGCTATCAAGACATAAACGATAACTCTTAGTAATAAAGTTAAGTTGCAACATGTGCCGGTGAAATTTTCTGAAAAAATACCGAAAGAATTTTTTTTTTATCCAAATAGACGACTTCCTTCTCGCTGTCGTCAAAATTACGGGAATCTATTTCTAGTGTCCGTGATATTTCTAGCTTAAAGTGATCAAAAGATTAAAACAATCTTTTTTTTCTTCTTTGCCCGGAATCTTGTATATTTTTCAATCTACACCCCAAATGGCAGCATCATTCTATTTGTAATGAGCTAGTTTATATTAATCTAGATGTCAAAAATCGTCAAATATGCTTATTTCTGATTTACC